GGTCGGGTGAATCACAAGCTGGCTTTAGTTATTTCATCTCCCTAAGAACATCCTTCACCGAAACAGCGACTTGTCTCATCGCCCGGCCAATCGCTTTAATGTTTGTTTCAGGAACTGTCTTTAAATTAGAACATGCCTCCCAAACTGCTCCTGTAAGCTGCGGAATCGACGGCTTCTTGTCTTTCTCATATAATCCTCCGAGCTAGTTCCCAAGATATTCATTCACCAGAAAGAAAATCAATCACTCATAGTTAATCTTAAATCAAGAACCAGAAGAACAGAGTCTTTTCTCTAGAAGATCCAAGATATTATTAGTAAGTATATTGTATTTATTATATAGATTTGTATCTATCATAATTTAGGAAATCTCTTTTCTATATAAACATATGTAATCTCTACGTTATTGTTCATGAGAGTAAATAATATTCTTCCAATCCTAAACTCTCATCACATATAATATTTTCTTACCGTACAAGAAAACAGAACCCTGCAACAATCTGAACCTGGAATCAACGATTTGTTTCACAGAAGCTTGTATAGATAAAGAAAGTGTAGGTCCAGCACCAACCATACCTCCATGGCAATGCAACAAGAAGCATTGAAGTATGACTCCATTGTCTCCTTCAATGCTTCAGATTTTGGAGATTCTCCAATCCATAGCATTCCCACTAATGGAGTTAAAACCCATAAGAACAAACGATTTAAAGGGACTAAACGAATTGGTTACGAAAAGACAGTAATTAATTAGCAAAAGGAAACTGTTAAAGAGAGGAAAAAACCTTATGGTGGATTGCTCGAATAACTGCAAAATCCACCAAATCTCTAGTCTAAATCAGTAATCAGGGTTACACAATTTCATAACGAATTAACACATAACAAACACATATTCAAAACAAAAATAGTATCGTTGATGGAGAGTATCGTTAAGGATTAGATTCAGTCTTTGGTTTCGCCATCTCCGTCTTCTTTCACCTCTCCAAGTCTCTACTTTAAAAGTTATAATTTGCCGCTACGTTTTTATTGCAATCTGAAAACTCTCTCTACGCTTCCGTGAAACGACGCCGTTCTGTTAAGGAGGCCGTTTATTCACTTTCCTAAAAAGCCCTTGATTTATTTTGTCTCTTGTATTTGGAACTTGGGATATAAGTTATCACTTAAAGCTAAACCTAAATATATGATACTTTTTCTTTTGATGATTACTCGGTGAATGCCCATAACTATACAAGAAACTTATGCATAAGCTTGATTGGAAACACTCCTAAT